TCCTCAGACTCTCCAACAAGCAGGCCTTGTAGTCTGAAAAATAAAGGGTCTGATCTGAGCTGTGGAAAAGGTGTCATTCACTCACCTTGAGGAAGTGCATTTTCTCTTTCAGGCCACTGCGTATTGCCAAGAGCAAGGCGATTTCCTTGATTTATACCAAGAGGATCAAGGTCAGTAATTTTCAAATTAGGGCTCATTCAAATACCATCCTAAAACCTTCCTTGTAAAATCTCAGGTTAGGAAAACAGAAATCCATTATGACAGAATTTATCATCAAAACATTCCTAACTGAAGCAAGAAGACACACCAAGTATACCTACAGCAATTGTAAAAACATCTTGTGTCCCTGGGGGGAAAACTTTTTTAAAGTCCCCCCTTCCGTCCCTCCCACCCTCAAATATTTCATTTTGTGGCATATCTCTATTTTATTTAAGGCCCTAGGTGCTGATTTTGGCTTGGTCATTGTTTTATACTAATCCAACTGCAACCTTTCTCATATACTTTACAAAGCATTATCCATACATAAAATGTTAATTAAGATCTTATTAGTTTTTTTAAGTTTATATCTGATGTTGCTACATCATTACAATGCTTTCCATTACAGAAAAAAAAAGCTGCAAGTCTTCACTTACAGTACCATGCACTACGCGTAGCTAAGGCATTCATTTGGCACTAGAGAGAAAATTACAGACACAGCTAATTTTACTTTCATTATCATTTTTAACATCAATAGAAATAGGTGTGTATCCTTTACTTGAATTTCTGCGATGCTTAGAAGATAATCACAGAATACTCTTTTGACAGTTAAAATGTTGCCATTAAAACAAAATAAAACAAAAAGCCATAAACACCTCTGTACAACCAGTTGGAATGAGTGACATTTTGTGGTTGAAAACTTTGCAGGTCTCAGACAGAAATACCTTTCAAGTGGCACTGAGAATTACTAGCATCAAAAATATTTAATTTCCTATACCACACTAGTGATTTTTCTACTTCTTGTCACAGACTAAGTAAAGAAAGTGAAAAAAATTCAAAAATATCCTGGTTCCTTTTCATCTGTCATAAATACCTTCTCAGGGAGGTACGAATAATGCCCTCTGGAAAAGTATTTTCCAAATTTTAAGATAGGATACAGGAGGAAAGGGAAGAGGAGACAAAAATAGAATGTATAACTATATTGTGACAATCTGTTTCATAAGAAAACAGCACTCATAATTTTTACAAGTCTGTGAGCTGAATCAAATGCAGACTGCTGCAATTTAGGTAAATTACATTAAAACAGACTTTGAAGAATTCAATTCAAGCCTAAAGGCAAGGAGTCCATTCAATATTCTTTGAAAAATTGGTTTAAGATTATTACCACTTTGTATATACTACCCAGAATAATGCAACAATTACAATGAATTTAACTTTATAAATTTATAACTATTATCAAATTAGCACATTTTTCAGATTAACCTGCAGCTACATTTTAAATCCTCCCCATGTTAAAATACGTTGTATCATTCCACACAAATAATGGAAGAGTGAAAACTATCTACAGCAGTTTGGCATGTGCACAACACCTGGATATCCCATTACTTTTAATGTTCCTTTTTAGCTCTTCTTTATGAAATCCTCGAAACTGCTGCATGGATAACACACTGACATAGGCTTAACAGAAATACTTTTGTAAGCAGCTGTTTAAAACATTATCAACTTCAAATCATAAAAGTCCCTTGTTACATAAACATTTTATATTCATTCCTTAAAAAAAAAGAAAGACAAATAGTTAGGTGACCAATGTCCAAACACCTTAGATAGTAGTTACACCTAAACAATGTGGTTTTGTTGGAAGTGTGTTTGAAATCAATTACCATATGAAGCAAGAAGACCAAATACAGAACTAAGGAAGGAAGGGTTGGGAGGAAGGGTAGTGGAAAGAAAAGCAGAATTTATGAACACATAATTCTATTGTCTGTGATTAAAGTCCTTTACTTTTTAGCACCACATTAAACAATTTTACATATCCAGTCACTTAATGAAATCCAACAAACTCTTCAAGAGTTCTGGGGATCTGGTCTTGGTAGTTAATGTCATTGGCCCGAACTGCTCGGGCAGCCAGGCACTTGAGACTCATCTTCATCTGAGTTTTAAGTAGTATTTCAGATACTCCAGTCGTACTTTTGTCTAGCGGAGTCTTGTTCTGTTTGTTTGTCATGTCAGTGTGAGCGCCAGCTTCAACCAGGCTAATGATGATAGAGTGCAAGGTCAAAAAATCACTGATGGGCCTGTTGTACTGAACGATAATATGAAGGGCACTGTTTCCCTCATTGTCCACGGCATTCACCTCAGCACCGCAGTCCAGCAGGAGCTTGGTGACAAGTGCGTTTGGAAAGCTGCAGACGTCATTGGTGTGGAAATCATCAACTGGGGTATTCGAGTTGACAGCTAGATGCAACAAGGTGAAACCTTCACGAGTTCTGGGATCCAGGTGAATCAGGTTGTAGATCTGCTTGTTAATTTTGCACTGATCTTCTTCGCTACACTGTGTTTTGGTGGAGATGCACACTAAATACAGAAAGGTATAGAGATTACATTCGTAATTGTCCATAGCATTGTGGACATCAGCATCAGAAATATTTTTTACTCTGTTCATACTTTGTTCTATTTCCAAGACGCTGCATCTCAAAACACATTCTATGTCCGGGGCCTTCACAGTTTCGTTCAGATGTATCATCTGTGAGAAAACTTGAGCAAATCGAAGAAGATCCTTGTGGGTATTCCTGTTACCTTTCTGCCTGAGGTGCAGGGCATGGAGCCACAATTTGATACACTGTTCAAATTCCATGTTATCCGCATAAACAGCCCCCCTGTAAATAATGGGATGAGAAACATCAATATTGTCAGCACCTAAAATCCGCTCCCGAACTATAAGGCCTTCCATATGAAGAGCATCTCTGTCTTGCCGAATGGATTCCAGTTCCTGAGGATTTCTACATTCAGTTCTATTCCCGTAAGCGTGGATTGGTGGGAGAACCTCTTTTTCGAGAATGTTATCACCATCTTGAAACCTCTCCAACATAGCTAAATACAGGTAGTGGTATGTCTTCATGATGTCATAGTTCTCACGGTCATTTGCAAAGGAGGCACCCAAGAGTTCCAAAGCTTCAATCCGACTCCTTCGGTCACAATCAGCATGAGACAGTAACAGTTCAACGACATCAGCTTTACAGCTTTCGGCAGCTACTTTCAATGGTGTCATCCCATGGCCGTTCACCACTATCGCAGCCCGCCATTTTATCAGTTCTTTCACGATGTCTATGTGCCCGGCTTCGGCTGCAAAGTGCAATGCTGTGGCTCCGCAGTGTGCTTTAGCATTGGGATCAGCACGTTGTTCTAAAAGGTACCTGACCACATCAGTGTGTCCCTTATATGCTGCAATCATTAGGCAGGTGTTGTCATACTTGTTGGCAATGCTGATGTTGGCATTATTTTCAACCAAGTACTTCACAATATCCAGTCTGCCATCAAAGCATGCTGCCCGCAGGGGGGTCGAGTTTGTTACTGTAGTGTGGTTCACGTTGGCTCCATGGCTGACTAGAAGTTTAACAACTTCAAAATGTCCTGCTCCAGCCGCACACCAAAGAGCAGTGGCACCATCAATGACATACCTACACATGAAAAGAATAAACAGTTAGATAATAGAGGCCACGGGCCCTGACATAAGTTTAAAGGATGCATTCATCTGTACCAACCAAGACCTCCCTCTCCATTAATAGAACATCGGTTTCGGTGAAAATAAAAACAGGCAATTTCAGTAAAGCATTTTGCATAGTACTTGTACCTAGTATGAGCTCAATAAATGCTAGCTATTACTATTCAGCAATATATAAATCTAAAAACAAAACAAAACAAAAACCCTAAAGAATCACCAACTTTCTACTAGCAAGAGTAAATACAGAGGAAACATATGGAAGTTTGTAACTTCTTTACCGCCATGTTGGCCCATTGGCTCTTAAGAGCATAGCACGTTCCTCCCTCCCAGTATCTTCCAGGTATCACAGCTCCTCACAATTATGAAACCCAACCCAATCCTCTGTTAACATTGTGTTAGAAACTGCTTTAGGAAGAAAAAAATTGAAGCATTTTCCCCTAAGCTAGTCAAACATACTTGCTCTACTACAGCATGATAAAGAAAGAATTACTGTTCCATACACTATGGACATCACAAAAACATGATGCTGACCAAAGAAGTGAAATGAACACAGCATATACATATTGTATTATTATAATTACATACCTATCTGTAGTGTTAGAAGTGAGGGTACTGGTTATTTTGGGGGGGAGGTAGCAAATGGGAAGAAGCACAAAGGGAACTACATTAAACAAATATGTTTATTTCTGTGAAATCTTTATATACTTATAATTAATGCATTTTCTCTCTGTTATAAGCCAATTTAGAAGTTTTAAAAATATCCCGGGTGCAGTGGCTCATGCCTGTAATCCTGGCATTTTAGGAGGCCAAGTCAGGAGGATCACTTAAGACCAGGAGTTCGAGACGGGCCTGGGCAAAACAGCAAGACCCCCGTCTCTATAACGAATACGAAAAATTAGCTGGGCATGGTGGTGTGCACCTATAGTCCCAACTACTCAGGAGGCTGAGGCAGAAGGATTACTTGAGCCCAGGAGTTCAAGGCTGCAGTGAGCTATGATCGAGCCACTACACTCCAGTCTGGGCAACAGAGCAGGGCCCTCTCTCTAAAAAAAATATTTTTAATTAAAAAAAATGTATATGTGCACATATATAACACATGTCTATGTATGGTCCTCAGTCAAACCATTATAGGAAAAAAATACTACTATAGAAAAAAAAAATTCTAACAGCAAGAAGCAAATAGCATTTTTAGAAAACCAAGGAGGTATCTTCTCTGACATGACTGGACTTGTAGCTTCGTGTTCACAACTTACTTATTGAACATCTGTCGTGTGCTAGGTCTACTACTTAACATACAAAATTAGACTCTTGCTAGGAGTCCAGTCTTTCCCATCTTTTCACCTTCAACTTTTCCCCAACCTCAGTTTTCCAGTTTTTTATCCTATTACTGACCAAAAGACCTGAATGTGGATTTTTGCTGGAGATATTTAGATCTACTATGCTAGAACCAATAAATGTATTTGGAAGTGTTAAAGAAAAGGCTGATCGAAGCAGTATCAAAAACCTCACTAGTGAGCTTCTCACCATACAACCTTTAACACTGGTGAAATTATATCTCCCATGAAGTGAAAAAGAGTACAATTCCCTTGGTGCTATGGTTTGAATGTGTCCCCTCCAAGATTCAAGTATTGCTAATGGGAGAGTATTAAGAGGTGATGCCTTTAAGAGGTGATCAGGTCATGAGGGCTCCTCCCCTCATGGATGGGATTAAGTAACTTATAAAAGAGACTTCGGCTGCATTCAGCTGGCTTGTCTTCCAGCGTGTGAGGATGCATCGATCCTCCCCTGTGGAAGATGAACTCACCAACTGCACCTGCCAGTACCTTAATAGACTTTCTAGCCTCCAGGACTGTGAGAAATAAATTTCTGTTCTTTATAAATCACTCAGTCTCAGGTATTTTGTTATAACAGCACAAAACAGACTAAGACATATAAATATCATAGTTCAGCCACAGTTAACACCACCACAAAAACAACACTGTCACTTCTGCTGAAAAAAAAATATCCATTTTATAATAATTCAAGTGAATACTTCTTCAGTTTCAAATAATGATACAAAATGTTTATAAGCAAAAGCCTTCTTAGTAACAGTGGTTACCTATAGGGGAGAAGGTAGTATGGACTCGGAAGAGGCTTAAAGGTCCCTGAAATGGCCTATATTTTGATCTGGATGGTGGCGACATGGACGTTTAGAGAAAAAAACTCATCAAACTATATTTAGATCTGTGCATTTTACTGTATGTAAGATATACCTTAAAAAAACTTAGCCTTCTTAAGTTTCTTTTTAAATTTTTATTTTTAAAAATGCATTTAATTGTTAATTGATTTTTTAAACTAAAGAATGAATCAAGAAAATAGGATATTATATCAGTAATATGTTTTAATGGTTGCCAACTGTACCTTTTGCAAACAGTTTAATTAAAATTCACTTATGTTTTACTGTCATGATTATATTTACAAGGTCCAATAAATTGTTTTCACCGTCAAAAAATAACCATTTGCAATAGTAACAGAAAGTATCAATATCTAGTAATAAATCTAATGAAAATGTACAACACTTCTACATGGAAAACTATAAAACACTCCTGAGATAAATGAAAGAAAACCCAAATAAATGGAAAAATATCTCAAGTTCATGATTTAGAAGACTCAAAAGTGTTAACATGTCAATTCTCTCCCAGAATGATCTATAGAGTGGATATAACCCTAATCAAAATCCCAGCAGGAGGCCGGG